GGAGGAATAATTTACCCCAAATCCCTTAAGTAGTCATTGGTAGAGGTGGGCTTTGAGTTCAACCCTTAAGCTCCAAAGTCTATGTTCTTTCTGCCAACTACACTTGAAAAATAGAATAAAGGCTGTGAAAGAAAGGGCTTTTTCTTTCCAGGACAGATCTGTGAGAAACATCGTATAGAATAATCTCTTCTTTGACTTTGGTGTGACCTGGAAATACTAATCCAAACTACTGTGGAAGTCTCCCTCTTCCAAATCCTTCTTGTGTGTAACATTTCGGCTGTCTCAGGACCCTGCCTGAAAACACCTGGGATTTTTAAATTTGTGCTTTTTCAAACTGTCATTGGTAGTTCAAGCATTTCAAGGAGCTCCCTTTGAACGAATAAACCATTCCACTGTGCCAAGAGCCTTACTATTAAGCTGAAAACTATTGATGATTAAAGTTTTATTGTCCCTTCCCAACTGAAAACAAAAACAACAACAACAACAACAAAAACAAAAATAAAAAGAAAAGAGCCTCACAATAACACGTCCAGAGGCTATTGAAACATTCATGTTCTTTATGAATAGGAGTCTCCAGTGATTGGGAAAAGCAAAGTCCTTCTCAAGGGCTCAGATTTTACGTACAAACTTTGACTCCTCCTGCTCTACCCTGACTCCTTCTGTCCTAGTTTCCATGACAACAAGGAGACCATAGATGATTGAAATTAGGTTTATCTTAATGATGGGCTAAGAAGCTGGATAATTGGAAATGTCTGCACATGGTGGAGAGACAAGAGCCTCTACTGCCCCCTGCTGGGCTCCACGTTTCCCTCCGACTATCCGGTCCTCCCTCTGACTCCAACAAACCTCTCTGGCTTCTGGCTTCTTTCCCAAGCTAGATGCCCTCTGACATTTGTCAATCTTTCTGTTTCCCTTTTGATGCAACATTAGTATGAAAAAGAGATAAAAACTTTGTCAGTTACTCTTTAAATCCATGCTAATTGATAAGGAAGGATAATCACCAACCACTTCTCTACAGAGTTCAATTGCTTCCAAGTGGTTTTCATTAAATCTAAGTGAAAACACTTCCCACGATGCAATTTTAAGGGAATATTAATCACATGCCTTGATTAGCTTTGGATGGCAGAATAAGCGATCTGGCTGAATAAAAAAACAGGTTTCTTCTTTCTTAATATCCTCACTTTACAAGGTGAGTATTGCAGAAGGCTTTGGTTTTCTGGAAAATAGAGTGAGCTACATATAACGAGTGCTTTTCCAAATGTATATTGATTTGCAATCTTTGGCATTTAATTTCATCTGGTTTTATATTTTAACTATCTGATTATAGAGGAATTGTTGATACGAACTTCCTCAGGCTCTAAGGCAAAATGTTCCACATCTTTTCCATAGCACTTAGGAGAATAAACAATTCAATTTAACAACATAAATTTAAGAAACAAAGTCTCCTAGTAGTTAAAAAATTTCTGAGTATGAAGTTTTTATTGGCTTCAAACTCTTAATTTGTTTTGTATTCTCTGCTCCTTGGTTATGTGAAAACACATAGCCATGAAAAGAGATGTCAAGGGCTCCACAAAAAGTAGAAAATGTGCAAAAAGACTGTTACTGGCAAAACAAACAAATTAGCACGGGTGGGTGAAAGGAACTTAGGGTTGAGGATTTGTGATTTTAAACATAAATTGCATACTGTGTTTCTGGGAAAGAGTTTGCATTGTAAACATGGGGATTCTTCCTGAAAGGATGTTCCAATTTGATTTGGTAAAAATTAATATCCTAGCAAAATTATGTATGTCATTTGACACGCTTGATTCTAGAATTCATCCAGAAGAAGAAATCAGTAAGAAGACCTGGAAAAATTGTGGAAAAGAAACAGGTCTTTGCCATACTAAATCAGAATATACTATAAAGATCTAGTTTGTAAACAGTGTGATAATGTTGCAGAGATTGGAGAGCAGATCAGTAGAACAGAATGGACTGTCAAAAAATGAACACATTTAGAGATGGGATAAACTAATAAATGATACTGGAACACTTCATTAAGGAAAAAAAAAGCCAGATCCCTACTATATACATAATGAAATCGCAGATGATTTAAGGGCTACATAGACTAACTAAATATTGTTAGAAGAAATTTAAGAGTCAGGGCTCCTGGCTGGCTCAGTCGGTAGAGCATGAGACTCTAAATCTCATGGTGATGAGATTCATGTTGGGTGTGGAGCCTATGAAAGAAAGAAGGAGGAAAGAAAGAAAGAAAGAAGAAAGAAAGAAAGAAAGAAAGAAAGAAAGAAAGAAAGAAAGAAAGGAATTTAAGAGTCTGTGGAGTCTTGGGGCAGCAGGAGTGGAGAGGGCTTTTCACCTTGACATCATGACACATAAAGGAAAAGTCTAACATACTTGACCACGTTCAAATGCTGAACTGGTTCCTGAGGAGATGCCCTTCTTCCAGATATAGCATTGCATTGCCTACAGTGGGGTTTAAGGGAGGCCCACAAAGATACCTTTAATCTCCTACCACACTTTACACTGCGGTCCAGAAAGGAAAGGACTGAGCACCAAGTACCCCTAAACCTAAGTGAGGCTTCATGTGCTCTGGGGAGGACGCACCTTTCCTGACCCACAAAGCAGTAAGAGCCTCAGGAACAATGCCTCCCTCCACTATCCCTCCTTAATCGGAAGTGTGACGGGCCAGCCGTTCCCTAAAAGACCATCAGTACGAGTCTCAATGGGAGTTATGACCATATACTTTATACACTTTCTCCAGAAATTCAAGCTTTCCAGGGCGTCATGGAGACTCTTATCCACACCCAGATCTGGATATTCCCTGGTCCTACTTTACCCAAGCTTCCGCATATCCAGGACCTCCCACTACACGGTTTGCAGAATCAAGTGCAAAATGAAAATGTGGGGGCCCTTGTTAAAAAATGAGTAAGAATTCCGTGCTGGTAACACTGGAACATGAAGGCAGCCATGAGTCCCTTCTGTGTGTGGATTACATGCTCATAGGCTGCCCATGCGCTCTAGCCCCAAACCCTTTCTTTATTGCCCCATATGGTCTGTTATCAGCTAAATGTAACCTCAATTTCTTTTGTAAATGTTGAGAAAAAATTCTTCGTACTCTAACTTATCCTTAGCTGTCCCCCGAGGATGCTGCCAGATTCCCATACCCCACATACCATGGTGCCTGGGGATGGGGTGTGTGTCTTCTTTATTTGCCAGTGCTTTCCCTGTCTAGAATTTTCTCTTCCTTTTTTCAAAAATCTGTTTGTTTTTTTTCCACCAAACTCACACCATCCATCCACATAGCCTGCTATCTCTTCTTGTTGCGGTCCTCTGTGTACCTTCCCCTTGTCCATCCAGCACATGACATTAATAGGTGCCCAAGAAGTAGATACTGAGAAAGTCAACAAATGACTTGTGCAATCATTTTGGGGGGGAAAAACCTAGGTAGACTATATATTCGACTTTCCAGCTGCATAATAAAAGCAGGCACAGTTGAAGCAAAGTGCCCCTCTTGCCTGAATCACTCATAGGATCTAGATTATTTGCATTCTATATTCTCTGTAAGTTTTGTCAGAAAACTGGCCAAAGCGTGGCCTGTTATGAAGCCGAGTTGATATTTATACCCTAAATATTTACGATTTCTTTTAAAAGTTGGCAAGGGGAAGAGATGAAGGAGTCACTCGATAGGAGTTCAGCAGTAAATTCATGTCCCTTTTATAGTTTTGCTGCTAGAGTAAGCAAAAACGGAGAAGCCAGGGGGCCCTGGCCCGGCCAGCGAGGGCAGCAGTCAGGATTTCTACCTTCATTGCTTCTAAATGCTGCCCTCTTCTGGCCAGAGTGCTCATTGATGGAGCTGTGTGACAGGAGCCTGCTTAGGGACACAGATGGGAATGGGAATAGATGGGGCGCCTGGGTGGCTCAGTTGGTTAAGCATGGACTCTGGATTTCAGCCCAGGCCATGATCTCACAATTCATCGGTTCAAGGCTTGCTGACCGTGTGGAGCCTGCTTGGGATTCTCTCTCTCTTTCTCTGCCCCTCACCCACTCGTTCTCTCCCCCTCTCTCTCTCTCTCTCTGTCTCTCAAAATAAATAAATAAATAAATAAATAAACATTAAAAAAATAAGAAATGGGACTAGAGGCAGTGATAAAGCAAGGGAATGACAAGCAACACAAGACAAATGTGGGAACAAAATGGGAAAAGTACATCTATAACCCCCATAACTTTGATGTTCATTCACCCCCGTGTCTCCTCCTGCATCTTGTCCATTGTCCTCCTGGAGAAAAACCGGCAGGAAAAATAGGCATACAACCCATCCGACTTGCTTTAGCACCTACCGCAAGCTGAGGGCTTGGAAGAACGAAGCCACCATTGTTGTGGTCCCTCTCTACCCTCGCACTGAATCCTGCTTCACCCATTCTTGTGACTTGCTGTGCGAATCACTGTCCCCGAAACCTCCACACACAACAGACCTGCTCTCGAACCCCTAGGGAGCCTTCCATGATGGCAGTAGGCATTTTCCTTCTATCCCTCATTGCTAAAAGGTGTATGGAGTTCCCTCCACCACCTTCTGACTCTGGGTTCATCATCTCTCTAGAAAATTCCACATTGGTGATAGAAGTTGGGAAGGAACCATCTGAAAAAACAATTTTTTTTAATTTTTAACGTTTATTCATTTTTGAGAAAGACAGTGAGACTGAGCAGGAGAGGGCAGAGAGAGAGGGAGACCCAGAATCTGAAGCAGGCTCCAGGCTCTGAGCTGTCAGCACAGAGCCCGACGCGGGGCTCAAACTCACGAACCAGGAGATCATGATTTGAGCTGAAGTCGGACGCTTAACCCACTGAACCACCCAGCCACCCCAGGAAAGGAAGCATGTTTACAAGAAGAAGAGAGAGAGCAACTTTAGCCAGAGCAAGTAAATAAAATGTGAACTTTGAGAACGTCTTTTCTAGTTATTCCACAGTCTGAAGGCTCTGCGTTGGTCATGGTCAATGTCACTTACCAACATATAGGCTGTAGAGCTCCCCAACATGCCTCGCTTCACAGCATATCTAGGAAATTCTGGTTCTGGTACGGGACACCAGTGATAAGCAATGAGGCTGCTTCCAGCCAGAGGCGACCACCACCGGGCAGACAGCCTGGAGGGACAAAGGGATTAGTGTGCTAGTATGCCAATAATGGGCACACTGGTTAGGAAGCTGGGTGGTCTAGAAAACGCACCAGATGCAGGCGAAGTAGCATGCCTTATCAAGTTATGAGGAAATCCTGGGGACAAACCTCAGGGAGTAACAAGGAAAAAGAAGCCAATTTGAAGGCAAACAAAACACAACCGATTCTGCAATTCTTGGAGCAGACCACGATTTCTGCAGGTTTCTTTCCTGGAGTGTCCTTCAGGGGTCCCTGTTGCCTCTACCTGTTCATCCTTTCAGAGCCCGCTCCAACCTCTCTTTGCCGTGAGGTCTTCCCAATCACGTCAGCTCTCCTGTCTGGTCTGGCTGCAGGAGTAAGAGCCTGCACACTACCATTTGGCACAATTACACGCCAGACGTTGTTCACTGATGTTTCTTGGGAACATGTTTAATCACCTACCCATGTTCTGTGGCCTTTCAGGGCTTCACACCCCTTTGCTAGCCAAAATGACCAAGATCTCAGTCCTCATTAGATGATGTCAGGAATCCCAGTCCCCACGACAGATGGTTCTGGGGATTACTGGGGAGTACACACCTGCTTTAGCTGTTGCTTGCCGTTGGTGGCTCTTAGCTAGTGGTTTGCATGCTTTGTGCAGGGTCAAGCCCTTCCTTGCTCTGTTTGTCCCCGTGTAGACATTGGTTCCCCTCTTATTTTACAGCTCCATCTGCACACCACAGCACAGCCAACAAGAAGGCAGAGATACAGAATAAGGGTTGGAATGTGTGCAGTGAACCTTTAGAACTTGGTAACACTGATCACGGTTCCCGCATCCACCAGCCTTATCCCAATGTGGGGAGTCCCCTACCCGTTGTCTCCCACCTCCATCTTTTTTGGGGACACATTGCTATGGTTTCAGTACCTCCTCATATAGGTGGGGGTGTCCCTGGACCCAGTTCTGAGACCAAAACTTCAGTTTCATTTTCGTCAAGCTCTAACCCAAGAGCATGAAGTACAATACAAAAAGAATTGCCCAAAGTTGGAAGTCTGGCCACTACAAAGGTAGCCATTCATATTCCTTTTCAGAATGGTTTCTCTCTTCTTTGTGGCAACTACCCTTATAAGACTAAGGCTGGGACTAAGCTTTGAGTATTAAAAATGCCCCTTTGGGTGCCTCGGTGGCTCAGTTGAGAGAGCATCTAACTGTTGATTTCAACTCTTGATTTCAGCTCAGGTCATGATCCCAGGGTAATGGGATCGAGCGTCACATCCATGCTGAGCATGGAGCCTGCTTAAGATTCTCTCTCTTCCCCTCTCTATCACTCTGTCCATCTCCCCTGCTTGAGTGCTGTCTCTCTCTCTTAAAAATAAAAAAAATAAAATAAAAGCTCTTTAAAGTGTTTCCTCAAACAATAAACAAGAAGGCTCTTTCCTTCCAATATTAAATGATGCTGCTACTATTCCTGATATGTGAATGTGGCTCAAATTATTTTTTTTAAGTTTTGCCTTGTTTGGTCCTCATTTGCCAGACTTATCTGCCTCAAAGGCAAGAACAATGCCTTGGTTTCCTGGGTTTGTGCCCATATATCAATTTCCACAAAAAGAAAAGTGGTCCCTAATAACAAGGCAGAAGTAAATTCATGTTAGAGCAGCATGGCCGTGGCTCGTTCCCCTAAATCTCTGCTACCATTTCTTCCAGCAGGCCACAGGGAAAACAATGCCCAACCTCCCTCACACTTGGGTACAGATTTGGCCAAAGGATATAAGTGGAGGGATGGGTGCTTCTTCTGGGTCTGATCATGCAAAACTGGCAAAGAACCAACTCCACACCATTTTCTCCTTGGGGCTGGGCTGAAGGGAGTGGCTATCCCAGGGCAACATGGTGAAAACTAGAGAGACTTCATCATCCTGGGGCCCTGAGTGATTTCATGAAGAAGAGACACTTCACTAAATCATACACTTGACCAGTGCTCCATTCAAAGCAGGAAAGAAATTTCTGTGTTATTTCAGCCACCATGTTTTCGGTCTATTACACCAGTTAGTCTACACTTAACAGGAGCTAGAAATGGATGCCTGTCAGAGATGTCCTTACTCAGACGTGGAGTTGGCAGAGGTCTGTGAGGTGTGATGAGAGACACTTATGGTCAAGGAGAGACCCTCCCACCCCTGCCACATGACTTCTTCACTTCCATCTATCTCGACATTCTATTTGAAATCCCACCACACATATTTTATTACTTTGGATAAAGGCCTAATATTTCCAGGAAGCTTCTTGTAGAATAATTACAGCACCTGATGTTAATTACACTAGAATTAAAAAAAACCACAAAAAACCCCAACTATATCACCTGGAAGAAATAGCACATAAAACCATTCTCTTTGAGGATCCCCTTAGCGTAGATGACTTTCTCAAATTTATTTCTGCTGAAATATCTAGTGAAAAGTTGAGAAAGGGAGACAGGCAGTAAAAAAGTCAAAGAGAAGATTTCTTTTAATGTTTATTTTTGAGAGAGAGAGAGAGACAGAGACAAGAAGAGAGAATGGGGAACAGAGAATCCGAACAGCACAGAGCCCAATGGGGCCTCAAACCTACAAACCATGAATGAGATCATGGCCTGAGCCAAAGTCAAACACTTAACCCGCTGAGCCATTCAGGTGCCCCTCGAAGGGCATATTTTTGAGGGAGAGGTAGAGGGATATCTAGAGCATGGAGAACTTGAGTTTTTGATCCAACAGAAACAGAATCCTGGGCAGCAGTGGGTGAGGTGTGTGACCATAAGATCCTTGAGAATCCTTGACAGAGAATCAGAAGGTTCAAAGAAGGGAGGTGAAGTCATTAAAGGCAAATTTCTTGCTTGACAAGTTGGCTGAATACCAGTCCTCAGATCATTTCCCCACCCTTTCCCTACATTTGAAGTGAGTTATTTTGATGGATGGCCTAGCCTACTTTTTAGATCTGCGGATGGCCCCTCATGAGAGCCGGTGGAAAGTCATAACGGAGCTTTGGGATTTGTTCAAACCTTACCTGCACTTTCTGGGTTTGGATGTTTTGACCATTTTTCAGTCAGTACCTTCCTTAGAGATTCCTATAGCAGTAACTGCCATTTCAGAATATGTGGTGATTTTCTCTCTCTGGCCCACAGAAAGGACAGATAGGTGGGCAGGGCAGGACCATTGGGGTTATTGGCACGAAAGGTTGATGACCAAACAATTCAACCCCATCTGTCCATTTACTATTATTTTTTACATAATTTTAAACCATTGTTTATTTTTGAGAGAGGGAGAGAGAATGCAAGCAGGGGAGGAGCAGGGGGGGGGGGGGGCGGAGGACCCAAAGCAAGCTCCGTGCTGACAGCACAGAGCCCGATGCGGGGCTCAAATTCATGAAACCTGAGATCCTGACCTGAGCGGAAATCAAGAGTTAAATGCTTAACTGACTGAGCTTCCCAAGCGCCCCTACTATTATTTTTAAAACAAGTATGTCCGTTTGACAATCAGTTTTGCGGTTAAAAATACAACAGAACATTAAAACTCACAATGATTAAACAGAACATTGAAAATTTGAGTCCGGAATGTGAGGTGTTACAAAATCACTGTGGATTCAGGGGTGGCAAATCTTGGAGCCAGTCCCCTGGGGCAATCCAACCCGACTGAAATGTCTGTTGTGCTGTCCTAACGCAAGCCACGGAGGTGGCAGCTGGCATCCCACGCGGATGTGAGAACTTTAGCTCCGATCGATGGGGAGTTTTACTGGTCCTCCCTGTGCCACATAGATGCTCCTTCCATTAGTTCTCTGTTGCTGCCCCAAAAATGACTGTACACTTGCTGGCTTACACGGTACACATTTATTTTCTTACAGCTCTGCAGGTCAGGAGTTCGACCTTGGATTCACCAGATAAAAACAAATTGTTGGCAGGGTAGCATTTCTTTCTGGAGGCTCCGGGGAAGAAGGTGCTTCCTTGCTCATTTGTGTTGTTGACAGACCCCAGCAAGTGGTCGTTATGGGACTGAGGTTCCCGTTTCCTGGCTGGCTGTCAGCTGGAGCCACACTTAGCTCCTGTAGGCTTCTCTCCGGTCCTTGCACACAGCTGCCAGCATCTTAGAGCCAGCAGTGGGGTGACAAATCTTTCTCATGCTGCCATGTCTCTGACCCACCTCTTTCCCTTCTTTTTTTTTTTTTTTTAATTTTTAAAAATGTTTTATTTATTTTTGAGAGAGACAGAGTGCAAGTGGGAGGCAGGGGCAGAGAAAGAGGGAGAGACAGAATCCCAAGCAGACTCCGGGGTCTGAGCTGTGAGCACAGAGCCTGACGTGGGGCTCGAACCCATGAACCGTGAGATCATGACCTGAGCCGAAGTCAGACGCTTCACTGACTGAGCCACCCGGGCGCCCCTTTCTCGTTCCACTTTTAAAGAGTCGTGCAATTAGATTGGGTCCATCCAGATAATGTGAAGTCATCTCCCCACTCTAAGGTCTTAATCACATCTGCCAGGTCTCTCTTACCACGTAAGGTGACAAATTCAGAAGTTTTGGGGCTGGGCATCAACATTTTGGGGGGGGGGCTGTTATTTTGTATAACATACTCTCAACTTAGAATTATCTGAAAACCCTTGACCTATAGGTGACCAATGTGCATCAGTGATAGGACCTGGCCCCAGGACGTCTAGGTCAGGTTTCACCTTTTTCCAAATCACATTTGAAGTTAGATTATACCCACTGCTGGCTTCATCTCATGTTTCCATAAGCAGAATTGAAAGGAATTTTCAGGTGGACCTTGGTACCCCAGGCTCTCAACAACTCTCACTGCCTGTTCATCTTCCTCATTTACCTCACAGACTAGTAGCTGACATTTAAACTGCTCAAGTTCAACCCCAGGATCTCAAGAAGAAAGTTTTACATGGGTGTTGAGAACATGGGACTTCATCATACTTTTTTATGAGTTGTATTTAAGTCTTTTGATGACAAAATTCAAGCAGAAGAAATCACAGCGGTGCCCCATCCTATGTGAAGGGTTTATCCTGGTGTATGTTCTCTCTACACCACCCAGTCTGGCCCTCTCTGGAAGCGTCACTGCTTCTCTGAGGAGTCTGTTTCTTCCAAGTGCCGGAACATGTCATTTCTCGTCTCTGACCACATTGCTCACAGAGAGTGGGGAGCATCAGCAGAACAGACACGGGATTTCACGTGGGCCGGATGCTGGGTCACTGGGAAAGTCACAAATGATAAAGGAAGGGGACCGTCCCCACAGGGGAGAAAAGATCCTTCAGGAGTGGGGGAACGGAAGGAGCTGAACTTGAACCTCCAGCCTTGACCGGATGTGGGCTTAAAGCCACGAGGACTGGTTTAGGTGGGGGGTATTGAGACGAAATGCTACTAATGTCAAAAGTGGACAAGGACAGAAAAACCAAGGGCTGTTTTCTGGTGTTCAGGAAGTAGAAGATATTGGATATCTGCTCTCTATCGCCTCCCTGCTCCACAAATGATTCTGCTTGTCAATAGCAGCTTCTTTTTCCGTGAAGGGACCTGGGCCAGTATTCCTCAGGCTGAAGCAGCGTCATCTGGGAGCCATCCCTGAGACCCCAGTTGGAAATACTTGTCTGTCAGAAACCATTATGATGGGGCTGCCTGAAGAGTCTCTGCAAAGGAGCTCTTCACAGATTTCCATGCTTACTCACAGGAGGAGACTCTTCTTCTCCACACCCCTACTAGGACATGCTTGTTCGGTCCCCAGGATCCCCTGCTGATAAGACATACCCTGCAACTGTGATGTGAATTGAATGTGCAAATGAGCATCAAGACATCCTGGCAGTCTTCCAGCAACGTCAACTAAAGGGAAATCTCATGAAAGTCTGCAGCAGTTAACAGAGCAGGGGGGGAAGTGTACTGTTGCCGATGCCTGTGACACTATCGGACCCCACACCAGGACCTGCCTGTGGGCGTAAGCATAAGTGTAAGCGTAAGAGCTCCGAGTAACTTCATCTCGTATCTGCTCGTCATCCTCTAGGAGAGTATCTATGGGGACCACGGCAAGGTTCAAGTTCACAACTCACGGAAGGGCCACCTACCGATTTCTTTGGACAATAGGAATATCTGCACAGAGATGAATTCATTGGGAGGAGGGCAGGTGGCAGAACAGGTGAGCTCTTTCCTAGCAATGGGGAGATCTCGACTGCCTGCCTTGCTAACAGACAGGAACTCTTGGACTGATGTCATCTCCTGACCTTGCTGTGGATTTAATTCCACGGACCACTTGCAGGCCAGCTGTGGCAGAGCTGGAGGCAGAAATGTTTCCCACTTCAAGAACTCACAGACCTGGGGCACCTGGGTGGCTCAGTTGGTTAAGCATCCGACTTTGGCTCAGGTCAAGCTCTCATGGCTCTTGGGTTCGAGCCCCGCATCGGGTTTGCTGCTGTCCGTGCAGAGCCTGCTTTGGATCTTCTGTCCCTTTCTCTCTCTGCCCCTCTCCGACTTACTCTTTCTCTCTCTCTCACTCGAACATAAATAAACATTAAAAAAAAAAAAAAAAAGAACTCACAGACCCAATAATTCCTTCAGAGAGTCATTTATTTTGATTTTTTTTTTTTTTTTGGTCATGCTTTGAAAGAAATGTGTATAAGGATGTCTTTTTTAGGCAACTGCTTTCAAAGTTGAGACCAGCACTTCTGCTTTATCTCCCCCATTTGACTGCTTCCACCACTAGCAGAAGGCACAGTGGCCTCTGCAAGACAGCAAGGGCAATTCCTACTTCTGTTTTCACCTCCACAGTTGACCAAAAATCCCAGCAGGCAAACTACAAGCATGCTGAGATTCCCAGTTGCCTTAGGTGCTAAACACTGGATTAAAAAAAAAAATCACACCTGGCAGATCGTTGGTTAGTACAGTTCATTGTGTTCGTGATGACATCCATCACACAAATAGCACTGGCAAAGAGTATGAGTTTGGAATTCCAAAGGTCGCGAGTTTGCTTCACTCGACTCCAGCCCAGTGTGACCTCTAGTTAGCTAGTGACCTATTTAAATACCAGTTTCCTCGGATGTAAAATATAGATAACGTCTCCTCGTAGGGTTGATGTGAGATTTATACACACTGAGTATGGGAAGCACGAGGCACAGAGTCTGACTCACACTATACTAACTCCATTACTACATGTCATTTTTGCCCGCAAAATAAAAGAACTAAACCATCAACGGGTCATTAAATGCTGTCTTTCTCAAGATGGTAATCTTCTCTGAGGTTATCTAAAGACTATTTGAAAAGTTAACCTCTTCTTCCTTTAGAACAGGCAGGAAAAAAAAAAAAAGAACAATTAGGGCAATTATCTTAACCTAACCGCTTATAATATGGAGATGTGTGACTAAAACGTTAGGTCAAATAAATTTGCTTGTAGAATGTGGAGCTAACGTGCTGGGTTAGGTCGTGAATGCAAGGTTTGCAGGAACCCAGGGGATCCAGAATGGCTCTGAACTTCAGCCATAAAAGGAACAAAGATCTCAAGCAAAACTGCCCAGAGGGGGAGCAGAATTTCCTGGGCAGAGCACCTCCCTGACCCTGGCCTCCTCCCAGGAGAGCCTTGCTCCTGTGAATACACATTCAAGGCCTAAAATACAGGGCCGTTTCACAACCCATTGCAGGGGTAGTGGGTGGGGTGGTGCAGAACTTCCTGGCAAGATTGTAGACCTCAACAATAAAACACCTATAAGCCCCTGTGAGGGCAGAGAGAACTCTCTGGACTTCGCCTATAGAAGGAAGGAGCTAACCTCCACCCATTTGATGAATGGCGCTGTAGCAATCTTGTGACATATGAAGCTGGAACCGGTTCTGAAATTTCTCTGTAGCATTTCCTGCTCTCAGCAAGGGAGTATGAGTTAGACATCGTTCTAGTACTTGAACTCCCTAGCTCTTTTTTGAACGTCTTTGTCATGCAATGATTTTACAGAGAAAAGATTCCCAATCACTAGCTCAATTAAAAACTTTTCCCCGGATCGGAGGAAACAGGGAATGGTACATTATTTCAGAAAGCACAGGGATGGGAAGGAATCCAGTTTTTCTTGAGACTTAAGGAGTTGCCTGAAATGACCACCTGAAACCTCCGTCCCCAGAATAATAAAAGACCTAACTGTGAAGTTCAAAATCTTGCTGGGTGGGTGCGGGGAGAGAATCGTGGAAAAACACCAACAGTTGGCTCTGAAATTTTCTCGAGACAAAAAAGCCAGCCCCAATGAGGGGCGGCCCACTGTAATTCTGCTTGACAGAGTGTGACACAGCCCCCCGTGTGTCTGTGCACATGCACGCAGCTGCTTGCTGAAAGCAGAGCGCCTGCCCACCACATCACAGTCACGTTCGTGCCACCCAAGCACCCAGCTGGCTTCCCGTAGACAGCCTCATGACAATTTCAGTTTTTCTTGTTTCTTCTCCTCGCCTCCTTTTTCTCCTTCCCTCCGTACCCCCATCTCTCTCGAAAAGATCTAAGTCCTGTAACACTGTTGCTGGGAGAAAGGGCTTTACTTGGCGACTTTTGGCTTACAGGATCGTTGGTGAACAATCAGTCTGTCTGGCAGGAAGGTACGCCCACAAATATTACAGGGAACCAACTGGCTCAGGGCGCTTGTCCAAGCAGCTTCATTTAAGGCATCGAGATCATAGAAACCTTTGGCTGGAAAGTTAAAGAAAAAGAAGAAGAAGAAAGAAAAAAGGACCAAAAAGGAAAGAAAAGAAGAAAATCGTAAAAATGGATCCTTTTTTATTCTGGAGCAACCATACTCTACTTTTTATGGAAAATATTTTCAGGAAATACCTGTTGACTGAGGCTTTTAAACAAATCATACTTTTTGTTCCAAACCCTCTTTCAGGGGTTGAATAAAAAGTGAGCTATGAACCAGAGACTTTTCGCTCCTTGGATTTTAAAAAGGGGAAGGAGTTGTTTTATGTATTATGATATGCATTCTTCACTAATTATTAACATCTTTGCTTACACATGATTATCTTGCAAATATAACTTTTGGCCTTCTTTCAATTGACTCTAAATAGAAGCTTACAAAGGGAAAATAACATGTATTTGTACTTTCCTCTTCTGTAATCCTTCAGTGGAATGTTTTTAAAGGCCAACACTGACAGTTAGGGTGAATTTAGGATGAATGATATCCTAAAAATGTATCATCTCTTCACGGTCATAAATGTGGAGATTCTTTAAATAATTAAACCAAAGAATGCAAACAGAATAGTTAACCTGATGAAAAGAAGCATCCTTAAGAGAACAATCAAGACGTCTGAGAGATGTATAATCTTCATTGGCAGAGCATAGGAAAAAAGGCATATGGCTTTATTTTAGAGAAACAGTGTGGGAGTTAGCTTTGATAAACCTTATTTAAATAGAATGACTTTAGTACATTAAATTGACTGTGTCTTAGAATTGCCCCAAATAGCAACCCCCCCCCTCCAAATGTAGCCAGGCACTCAAACATAAATTACATACTTAACAAAAAATCATTTTAGCAGAATATATTTCTTCACTAAAGCCCAGGCAATTTTCCTATGACTTCTTCCTAATGGTTCACACAACCATAGTAAACTTCAGATTCTCTCCTGCTACTTTGAATGTTCCTTATTTTACTCCATGAAAAATTGAACCCCAGCACAGCCTAGTATTTCTCCTTTAGACAAACCAAGTACCACTTTCTACGCAGGATATGAATTTTGAGAGCTTTGAAGACTGTTGAAAAATAAAATGGCACTTTCTCCTTACTCATGACTTTTCCTATGGATTCAAAAATTCCAGAGTATTCACGGAGTCTCCCTGGAGATGACTCATCATGTTGCTAAAAGTTTTTGAGTATGACTTTGACTTTGGATCTGGAGGAAGGGTTATTTGGACTTCATGACCACAGTAAGTCTGTGGGATGGAAACAAGAATGGGGATTCTCTCTCTGCCTCCCGAGGCAGGATGCCTTCAGAAATAGAAACAGCATGGGACCAAGAGGAAAGTTGCAGAGAAGGGCAGTGACGGGGCCTACCTTTTCCATCTGTGGGCAGTAACTGATTAATGAATCCCCGAGGGCCTTCAAGCCAGTCATTACTCTCTGATCTTCTAGACTTGTGATAATTATGCTCAAGCAGAAAAACGGATATGGTCAGAAGTGAAGAAAACAGATTTTTCGAAAACACAGAGAACTGCTGGGAAGAGAGTTCCAATGAGATAAACAACATCCTTGTGGGCAAATGCTCTAATTTCAATGGATGGATGTGTTCATCTTGAGCTCTTTTCCCACCTGTGTGAAGAGTCCTCCCCTTGGTAAGGGCTGTGAATAAATGGGTTCTTGTAGCCTCTAGAACTTTATCATGACAACCTAGATTCCACTCTGTGGGTTCTTGGGTTACATTTCTTTTTTTTTTAATGTTTATTTATTTTTCAGAGAGATAGAGAGAGAAAGAGAGAGAGAGAGAGCATGAGTGAGGGAGGGGCAGAGAGAGAGGAGACACAGAATCCGAAGCAGGCTCCAGGCTCTGAGCTCTGAGCTGTCAGCACAGAGCCCAACGTGGGGCACGAACTCACAAACTGTGAAATCATGACCTGAACCAAAGTCAGATGCTCAACCAACTGTGCCACCCAGGCGGTCCTCTTGGGTTACATTTCTAACAAGAGGACTTTGGACTAATCAATGGTAATGACTTCTGGGGTACCCTACGGCTACGCCAGTCTACAGTTACACATGAGGGATTGGTGGGTTGAATGATAACTTTTCTTAAAACCAAGAATGGTTTTCCCTTGAGGGGAATGAGGGGATCCACTGAGAAAATGACAATGGGAGAAATCAGAGGAGGAAGTCGGAGTTTGCATGGCAAACAGTCTCTGGATGACTTTGTTCTCACCCCAAATGAGTAAGCATAAGGCTCTGTGGGGAGGCCACACATGGCAGTTTATGGAGCTTCATCTGGCTTGTGCAATGCTTTACAATGTATTAGTTGCACAATTTGAAAGCTCTGGGCCTGGGGGTGCCTGGGTGGCTCAGTCGGTTAAGCATCCGACTTCAGCTCAGGTCATGATCTCGCAGTTTGCGAGCTCAAGTCCCACGTTGGGCTCTGTGTTGACAGCTCAGAGCCTGGAACCTGCTTCAGATTCTGTGTCTCCCTCTCTTTCTCTGCCCCTCCCCTACTCACATTCTGTGTGTCTGTCTCTCCCTCAAAAATAAATAAACATTAAAAAAAAAAAAAACAAAGCATACAGATTTCTAGATTTCCAGTTTCTTTTGTATTGTTGAAAACTATGCCCACACTAGGCTAAATTTCCAGCTGCCTCCTTTGGAGAGAGTCCATAATTCTCCAGCTCCCCAGGGTCCTCAGCTTCCCTCGTGTCACACATGGATCAATTTACTCAGTTTTATACCCTGGCTAGTGGACCCTGCACACTTTGAGTTTGGTACCCTGCTCTGTGAACGCAAAGACACATTCCTATTTGAAAACGTGTCTCCAGATGCCCTGAAAGATTTTTGAGGCTTCATGTTTTTTAAGTATCATGTTTGATAATATAGGAAAGTAACTTCCAGGAAATACAAGAAATTCCAGTGGGTCCCTCTCCTTGCATGGTTTTGCCAGAAGTAGCGTCTTTATGTCTCAGCATCTGAAGGCACCTTGGTCAGGCATTCTAGAACCATTTTTCCTATTCGGTTATAATGAAGACAGTAACTGTTGCTGATTTCTGATGTTTGAATAAGTAAGAAAAGAATACCTCTCCTCTTAAAATTTCACAGAGAAAATTCTCCCCATATGCGCTCAAGTCTTTCTTTCTTTCTTTTTTTCTTTTCAAAAACTTACCAGTAATGGTCCTGACTTCTGGTTTCTTGGGTTCTGATCTCCTTAATTCTTTGGGCAACAAGTTGTTTTTGTTATGCCATTTTTTCAGACATTGTGGCTCGTGGATGGCAATGGATTTTGTTCCATATTCACGGCCACAAATGTAGCAGATGATTGTTGGTGGACGCCTTATCATTGCTGGCTACAAATAATATAAAATATCTGTTAGATAAAGTTTAGGTGTAGAAATTATAGGTTAAAATTATAGTACATTCAAATTAGCTAGACAATCACATTTTTTTTTTTTGGTTTTTCGTTTTCTAATTTCAACCAGTCAGGTAAATTGAACTTTTGTGGCACTTAAGAGAATAAACCATACCATCTGAGTGAGTGGGGTGTGTGTGAAGATGTGGGTTTGGGAGGATGATAGGAAATAAAGAACTAAGTAGAGTTCTACAAACTGGCTTTTCTTATAAAATGTGTTTTCTCATCTAATAATTATTAATTATCTCCTGGTTATTCTCCATGCTAGGAAACTACAAAAATAAATCATGTCTGAATCATCTTTTCACTAAACTCAGGCTCTAGTATGCCAATATCCCTGAGAATTAAAGCTGTAAGTGTCATTGGAGAGTTTAGAACAGACATTGGGTACCCTCCCACATTCCCTTACACATGGACAACTTCCTCTGGCAAGTACCTGTGACTCTCAGCCTTTTTTGACCTGGTCTAGGCTCCACCCATAGACAGGGCAGCTAATCAATCACAAGCAGCGGGTGGTGGATAAATAGCCACTTCCTTACTGAGGTTGATTCCACGCAGTGTTCCGTGGGATTGCAGCTCAGGTGCTCATTCACACACTGTACAGACTTCCTTCTCTTCCCTGTCTTTCCTCCCACTACTCTACTGGGGCTTCCTGGGATCACCTCCCAAATAAACCACTTGAAATCAAATCCTCAAATCCTTTACTTAGCATTTGTTTCTGGGAGGACTAAATCTAAGGAAGAGTTAAGGATAAAACAGAAAAGGTGTTTCTGCTTCTGTCCAGGGGATAGAAAGTTACAAGAAACATTGCTCCTGCTTAAGCAATTAGAACCAATCAGAGAACTTAAAGAACCGTTATTTTTGAGTCCATTGGAGACTCACGGTTGCAAGGTAAGTTAATGAACTAGAAGAACTGCCTCAGTCTGAGAGTGCATCAGCACAACCAACACCTCCCATGCTCCAACCTTACAAGAATATGAGACAGTAGTTGTCTGCCACAGAGAAAAGGCAGGACAGGTGAGCATGAACCCTACTAAGGAGGAGCCATGCAGGAACTGTCTACATAAACCCTCCCATCCACCAGGTCTCACATCCAGTAACAGCGGGTGGCAGTCTAACATTGGAGAGAGGCAGGACTGTTGAGAGAAATCTTTACCAATTCAAGAATGCAGGGCCTGCCTGGATCGGAAGGTGGAGCTGGAGAATTAGGCCTTGCACTGGGTACCAGATAAGAAGAGTCTACTGCTGATGGAGGTGTGGGACCTAAGGAGGAAGGGGGCAGTAGGAAGGACTCCCTCTGTGTTGCATGCATGAAGGGCCACAGCCTTCTAAGGGTGCAGCAGGTGAACAGGGAACAGGCTTTTGGCTCCAGACTTTATACTAAGTACAAAACAGAGGAAGCTTATCACTGGGGGAATTTAAAGCCTATAGTACATTGAACTGAACTAAAGCAGGGATGAAACATCGGAAGGAGATTGTCATAGAATTCTTAGATTTTCCTTGAAGTAATTTTTTAAACATAGAATGTGATATACTAAAGATGCAAATTTTATTCTCTACAGTAATCACAAAGTGCAAAGACACACAAAAAGGCTGAGTGAAGAATTCAACAAGGGAGATAGGATATTTTTTAAAAATGGTAAGTTAATCACTTGCCAAAGAAAAGGAGGAAAGGATGAATATAAGACCAACCAAGCAACCAACAAATAAAGAAAAAGGGCAAGAGGAACAAATAGAATTAAAATACCAAGATGGTAGACTTAAATGCAAACATATCAATAATTGCAGCAAATATAAATGGACTAAAGAACAGAATTAAAAGGCAAGGATTGACAGACTAGATAAAAAAATAGTATAGACAAAAAACAACTCTATGTTGTTTACAAGAAACACATTTTATGAATAAAGACACAAACATATGACAAGTAAAAGGATGGGGAAGAAGTTTCATGTAAACACTAAGCAAAAGAAAACTAGCATGGCTATATTAGTAACACAAATGAAGTGCAGAAGTTGGAAATAGTTCTTCTAGTTGTGAAGATAAGGGAAAGCCTAAAGGAAGTGGCCCTTGAAGGATGGGTAGGACTTGGATCACAAGAAGGTTTTGGAGATGGAAAACAGCATGAGCAAAGCCTCAGGTATAGGAACCTGAAGATGAGGACAGAGAATAGCAACTAATATAAAATATTTATATTAATAGTAACAAATAGTTGCCTGGAGTTTGGTGTAGCCTTGAGAACTAGAACCAGATAGTTCAGCTGCAGCCATGCTACGAATAACAAATACCATGCTAAGAGCTGGATTTCGTTTTGTAAATGAGAGGAAGCTGTTAAGCAGGGGAATACCCTATAATTTTACTTCAAGAAAATTAATCTGGCAATAATGTATCTCAAAGGGCAATCTTGCCAGCATACACCTTTGAGCATTCACAGCTCTGGGAGCAGGAAATCATGGATCCAAGAGAACATTAGTGGTGATGTCACTTGCAGAAAGCTGGAAACCTGGAAAGGCAGGTTGGGGGAGGAGAAAAAACGGATTCTGTTCTGGACCTGTTGCATTTGATATACTAGTAGAATTTAAATGTAAGTACAGCCAAGACAGGAAAGACAGACGTGTCATTCAGAATTAATGGGTTTCAGAGCTACGCACACAGAGATGTTTAAAACCACGAAAACTCTAGAAAAGGAGTATATAGAGAATGTATGGAGGCAAAGTCCTGAGGGAATATCTACGGCAAAGAGATTGGGCATGGGAAATCACAGCCTAAAAAGATAAAGGTTCAATTGTGCAGTTAAAGAAACAGGCCATGGAGATGAAAGACTCCATTGAGAATTCTGCCAACACTTCCGGTTTCCAGAAAGGTGGCTTCATCAGCTCTGTCCAGTGCCACTGTGCGTAACGGGGGCTTGAGGAAGGTCACTAGATTTGCTGGCCGGCAGATTTTATACCAGTGACTTCTAAGAGTTTAGCTTCAATGGAGGGACAAGAATAAAAAGTAAACTGTTACAAGCTAAAGATTAGGTCAAGGAAACAGAGATGTGTGTTTGAAAAGTCTGCAGAAAGGAAATTTGAGAGATGAGTCGAGTTGAAGAAGTGCTTTGTTGTTGTTTTAGGGGTAGGAATGTCTCAGGCAGAGAGAGCTGGTTAGGATGAAGAGAAGAGGGACAGTATGAGAACAAGGTTCTCAGACAAAGCAGGAGAAGATAGGATCTGGGATGTGATGGAGATGTTAGCCTCTGAGGACAGGGAAAAAAGATGAAATAGAGATGGGGTGTTAAGAAGTAAGGCACAAGGGGCACCTGGGTGGCTCTGTGGGTTAAGCATCAGACTCTTGATTTCAGCTCAGGTCATGATCTCACGGTTCCCGGGTTTGAACCCTGTGTCGGGCTCTGTGCTGACAGCTCGGAGCCTGCCTGGGATTCTCTCTCTTTCTCTCTCCCTTTCTCTGCCCCTCCCTTTCTTTCTCTTTCTTTCTCTCAAAATAAATAACTTAAGAAAAAAGTGAAGCCTAAGCAGAGCTGCTGTAGGATGAACTTACAGGAGTATGAGGCAAATCATTGACAGAGAACGAAGAGATTCAGATTCTGGGAAACAGAACAGCAAAAATTACTGAAATTTTTTGCAAAAAAAAAAAAAATCTGGAAGTCTCCTGGCACTGCAAAGAATGTGATACTGATTCAATTAAGGAATAATACTCACCAAAGAATGGAAAGACCCGGTTAAGTTGAGCTGTAAGAAATTTCAGCGGAATGAAATGACCTTTTCCAGTGTGTTCATAAGGAGCACTAGGTGGTATGAAAGCAGAAACAAATTTGAGTTGGTGGTGTGGTTCTCTCTCCCCCCAAGGAATAATCAGGGTAAAATAAGTAAATCAGGGTAACGAATCAGGGTAAAATATGTGCCTATTTTAGAATCAGCCAGCTTTTCACTAAAGCTGTTGGGGGTTATACCTGTAGTGGAAACAGAGCAAAATCAAAATAAGAAGGGAACACATTTCTGGTTTCTGCACACCTGAGCCGACGTGACAGATTCTAGAGGAGTAAAGCCACTAACATACACCAAGCAAAACGGAAAATGGAGTTACTCCTGAGAGGATCCGCGTTTTTAAAAAAGCACATTATTTGCTAGAGGGGAGGTGGGGAGGGGATGGGCGAAGTAAGGTAAAGGGGGTTAAGCGGTACAAACTTCGAGTCATAAAATAAGTAAGTCATGGAAATGAAAAGTACAGACCGGGAATATAGTTAGAAATACTGCAATCGTGTTGTATCGTGGCAGATGGTAACTATGCTTGGGGGGGAGCACTGAGACGACAGGCTTGTGAGCTCACTGTGTTGTATACCTGAAGCTAATATAACATTGTATATCAGTGATACTTTGATAATTAAGGAAGAGTGATCTTTTTTAAAAGCACATTTGAGGGAGAACATTTTTCTTCTATTACTCTATACTGAATTACGCCAATAAGTTACATTCATCAGAAAATGGCTAACTAGTTTTTAGCCATGTTTTTTATTAGCCACGTAATAGGGTCTAATGCCTGCAAAGTGACTTTAAAAGTATTTGAGGAATTCAAGATGTAAGAGAAAGGATAAAGCAGAAGCAAGGATTTTCAAAATACCCAAAAGTTCCTTACTATATTTTATAGGTTCATTTACTTGAAGATTAATTCAATACAGGGTTTTTTTAGTAAAAAAAAAAAAAATGAGAAGTTCATCTCTTCACTCTGAGAATAATGAATATTAATATTCCACATGGAAAGTATGAGCCAAAATCGAGTATTTAACCAAGCACATAAGCAAAAAAAATGGCACGGGTCATTAATGAAGACATTCACGTCACATTGTCAGAAGGTTTCTTTTGGAAGGAAAAATGAGAAGAAAACAGGCAGATGCGGAGGCCAGAAGACAAGCACAAAATAACTTAAAGGGATGTGGGAGA